ACCGTAGCGTTGTAATTATATCATTATCGTGCACAGATAAAAAAACTAATAATGATAACGATCACTGTCATTAAGAGTCGTTTTAAATAAATTGTCTGAATGATTCATTCAGGATGTATTTAAATTTAGTTTTTAATATATTACAAATTTGTGCAATTTAATACGGAATAATATAAATTGAAAATAGGTTGAACACAGCGGAAAAAGACTGTGGAATACATTAGGCGATAAAGGTTTTCTTTTTCGAGAGAACGCCTTTTTAATTTTTCCCGCCATGAAACTCCAAACGCGATGAAAATAAGGCACAAAGAATGAAATCTGGGGAATTAGGAATAAAAATTAAATTAAATTTTCGATCAATAAAAAAAAAATGTCTCGATATTCCTTATGTATTAAAACATGAATTCCTAATATATACAAAATTCAATTCTTGTTTATGTTTAATTCCTTGTGTTCCCCACCTGTGTGAAGATAGCCCCGCAACATTGAAAACATAAAGTTTCTATAGCCACATAGTTTTTCCCTATCTAGTTACCACATGGTTTATTTCCATGTAGTTCCCACATAGTTTTTCCCATCTTCTTCTTACATAGTTTTTCCCATCTTCTTCTCACATAGTTTTCCCATCTTCTTCCCACAGTTTTTTCCCCATTTAGTTCCCACATAGTTTTCCCATCTTCTTCCCACATAGTTTTTCCCATCTTCTTCCCACATAGTTTTTCCCATCTTCTTCCTACATAGTTTTTCCCATCTTCTTCCCACATAGTTTTTCCCATCTTCTTTCTACATAGTTTTTCCCATCTTCTTCCCACATAGTTTTTCCCACCTTCTTACATAGTTTTTCCCATCTTTTTTCCACATAATTTTTCCCATCTAGTTTCCACATAGTTTTTCCCATCTTCTGTGCAAATGAAAAGTTGTCCTGTTTGACAAATGTCCAAACGAATATCTATCGATTGGTTCTATTTTGTATCGCGTATCTTCGGAATTCATCTTGAAAACGAATTTTTTTATGTAGAACTGCCGCTCCCCAAAACTTTGTTTGTTAATAACTTTTTAACTAGAGGTGTGCAAACGAAAATTCGACCTGTTCGGAAAAGTGCAAACAAAAATCTACCGAATAATACCATTTTAAGCACAACATTTTTGTTTCTATCTCATCTACCGAAGTCGCTCGCTTCTGAAACTTTAATTGTTAATAACTTTTTAACTAGAGGTGTGCAAACGAATATCTATCAATTCAGCTATTTTTTATTTAATTTACTCATAGTTGTGAGACTGTGAAGATGGCCCCCCGAAATTTGTTTTGTTAATAACTTTATTATTAGAAGTGTGGAAATTCGAAATGTGCGTACATGTGCAAATGATGAGCAATCGAATGAGCTATAGAAACTTTATGTTTTTCAATGTTGGGGGGCTATCTTCATACTTCAGGTGTGTTCCTCGTTCCTTTCATCGTATTTGGGCTCTAAGAATAAACAAACTAAAATCAATCACATGTGCAGAGCGGACCTAAAAAAAAAAAAGAAAACGAAAGATTAAAAATAAAGAAAAAAAGAAAGATTAAAAAAAATTACAGGTGAATGAATAATGAAATTTTGAATCAATTATTAAAAAGAAATAGCTACCACTTGAGATCCTCTTTGTTACTTCATGATTTTAGCTAGCATGCATTTTATAACTCTATGTTTCTCGTTATGCTCGTACGTATCTAGAATCTACGTTCTCTTGGGTTAACAACCGGCTTAATTATTATTTCTTACTTTGTCCTTGTCTCTTTGAGACCGGGTAACCGATTATTGCATTTATATCAATTTAATTGCGGAAATTGCATTTTCTAAAAAAGCATAAATGCGATAATCTACCTGATTTCATATTCATGGTTTGAGAAGACCATAATTGAAATTCGAAGACAAGTATCAAAACCACTGTGTTCCGTCGAAGAGTAAGAGAGAAGGAGAAACAGCGTCGGCGGAGAAGACGCTATTTCTTATTGTTGTGACGTGTTTTTTCGCGGTCGCCGGTCAGCCTTGCATTTGACACGATAATCCGGTTTGTCTGACGTCTTTTGCAATTAAAGTAACGAGCATGGCGGAGAAATGTGCGAGCGCGAACGACGTGGACGACTGTCCACCGGCGAAGAAAGTCAAAGTGGACGAGGAGAGCACGAACGCGGACGAGAAGAAGAACCCGGGTGAGAACGACGTGAATGAAACCGAGCCGAATTTATCGGGCTTTAAAGTGACGAGAGTGCTGCAGAATAACTGCGTGCGAAAATTGATTTGCATGGAGGGAACGTTTGAGGATCGCGAGGGTCCAGCGATCGTTCTGCTCGAGCAGAGGAGTTTCCCGGACGACAAGGTAGTCTTGGAGAAGGATTACTTCGACGGGAAGACGATCTTTCGAAAGACTCTCACTAATGACGTCTATAGAACCTACAATTGCATTCCAAGTGAGGAGCATAATGGTATGTCGATCTACGTTTCATCTTCTCTTTATATTGTGATGTGTCGGGTACCATTTTTTAAATTTTTATTCTCTTCAAGGTATGCAAGCGACCGTGATATATCCTGCAACACAGACGCTCATTGATAAATACAAGAAACAGCAGACATATATGATAGATGAAACCTATGAACTTTATCAGCAAGTTGTTCTCCCTTATATAGAGTCGATGAGTTTGAGCTATGAGGT